CTCAATAATTTCGGGTGGATCCTCGAACCATACTACTTCTTTACCAATTGGCAAGGCAAACTGAACTAATTTATGAGCTACGCCATTACATTTTCTAGGGACATACATGAACTATTTAAATTGATAAGACAGCCGCTACCTGCAACACGCTACCACAAATAATACAATGGCAAAACAATCCCTAGATTGGTCGTCAATGGTAGCAAGAGCATGAGTAGAGTCACTCTCGACCACTATCTGTTGCACACCTAAACGCTCTGCTAACCGGAGTCCTTCCCAATTTTCCATCAATTCGATGTGTGTTACGGACGCTATACCCTCTTTCCTCCAAGAACCGGTTACCACACAAAGTGTCCATACGAATCACGAATTACAACCCCCCCACACCGCCTAAGTTATTTGCAGATCGAGTGGCTCTGTCAACATTAATCTTAACCCAACCCTCCTTGGCACTTGCCATCTAACCAGCACGGGTTGTTTATTCACATTCGGCTTGGTGTTGAAATGTTGGAATTCCTGATACCACACTAGATAGAGATTTAGTAGAAAAATTAACTCATCGAGATTGGTAGTTTTTGGTATTGAATTTCTGTAGTGCATCACTATCGGATGTATTTGACTAATTAGTGAATGCAATGTCTTGAACTACTTAACAGTTTGTGTAACCAAGATAATATTAATCACACTACACCATTCCAGACACCCATAATTGCTCTGTTATGTTCATTTCGTCCCTGTCATTAGTGCTCTAGAGAATTAAGTCCTTAATAATTCTCATATGAACTGCCTCATTCCACCCTCAAGGTAGACTTCGAATTAAAAGTATCCTGCAATATCCCACTTGAATTTTTAAGAATTCCAGGTTATAGGAATCATTAAAACAAAGCTTAACATAACCCCACTAGTAAGCAACACTGTTATCCTCAAGGGTCACGGGTAAAAGAGTATAGCTCTGTAGTGCTACATAATTCGAGTTATCATAATTTACTTGTCATGTTTGAACCTAAATCTTTGAATCTTCAGCCAACTAAGTTGGGTTTCTATTATAATGATGGGCTTTTGACCCATTTCCTTCAATGACCAACTTACTATCTAACAATCCTTTAATAATTGATACCACTCGGTTGACTATCTCTTATGGTGTGTCTTCCATCTGATGAAATTATACTTCATTCGGAAATAGTTGTTTTGTGACGTTAAATCCTTCAAACAAATATTTTAAGAATTAAAAAAGTAATTTGCTAATACCCAAACACATTCCTCCACATTTAAGATATTTGCCAACAAGGTTCTCTAACATTTTAATACTGTAAAATACCTCAATCGACATCCTTACAAGACCAAAGTAACTCATTCAAAATTTAACCAAGGACAACACCACTTGCATTGTCACCACTTGAACGGATGAGTAACATGGACTGGAAAACTCACTAGTGGCTCCATTACATTACTAATCTTTCTAGCAAGTACTCATCATTCTCCTTGGAAAATATTTGCAAAAGTATTAAACACACTAATTGTGAAAGACCATTTTTTTTTATGGCAAGTTACATCTTTGGCTGTCATACTGTTGAATTCTTTTGAAACTCAAATACTCACGTGCTGTCGTCGTAGCTTTGACTGTTGCAACATATAAAAAGAATTGGACCATACTAATTAAATTCCATTTTCAACACTTGCAACAAAAATTGTAGAATTTTATTTTACTTGTTTTTATTTCTAAGGGTATCAGTTGTGCTGGATTATTTCAAGCTGGACGAACTTTATAGACTAAGCTAGATTGGCTTAATTAGAATATACTAAGCTAGACTGGCTTAGAATGTATGTTAGATTGACTTCGTGAAGCGTTGGTGCATTGTCGGACTACGAAGTAGAATAATGAAAATAGTATGCACTACATTTTAATTGCTTTTCTATTAAAGATATTATCAAAAGTATTGTTGATGCACAAAATCAGTGAGGACTTTGGTACAACAGAAAATGTCAAGTTTGTGACCTTCACTAGATTGCTCCGGTCACTAGTGTTGATAAGTATGTAAATGATAGAGACAGGGAAGCAAACACAAGATGTACGTGCTTCACCCAGATTGGCTACGTCCACGGAGTAGAGGAGTTCTCATTAATTGTGAAGGGTTTACACAAGTACATAGGTTCAAGCTCTCCTTTAGTGAGTACTAGTAAATGATTTAGTACAAATGACATTAGGAAATATTGTGAGAGAATGATCTCTATTTATAGAAGAGAGTTTCTAGTTTTTTATTATGACATTGACACGTGTCGTGTTGTGATTGGCTTCTGATGTTGACATGTCGCGCTATGATTGGCTTCTGATGTCGACAAGTGTCGCGCTGTGATTGGCCTCTTGGTTGGAGGGAAACTCTTATGAGTCCTTGACGGTATAACGTTGATCGGTGCTCAGTAGTTTCGAGATTGGTCAAGTATGGTACAAAACAAGTATTAGTACTGAATGAGAGTGATACTCAATCAAAAAGACAAACCGAATTTCTTGCCAACGAAAAGAATATATATGGTTCAAGAGTAGCATAATAATTGATAACGTAATATTCTGCAACATACTTACAATAGCTACAATATACGCTAGCTACAGTATTCTGCAACAACATACTTACAATAGCTAGCTACAATTATATCATTCAAAAGTTGATCCACATGATCCACTGAAGGTAAATTTACATTAACCAAAATACTTCACAGTGTTAAGGCTAAGTTGGAAGCCACGACTTAATGCCGTACGATCAACAAAACACAATTCATATCAAAAGACACCACATAATATACTCATCAGCTTGCTTTGTTGCTTAGAAGATTTTGAACGAAAACATTTTTGGGTTTGGCATCTAATGACTTGAGTACTTCCACATTTTGTGGTTTTTCTATAATAAGACTTGAGTACTTCCTCAGGTCCATATATATTCAAACTAAAAATTCCAAATTTAAAATAAAATAAAATAAAATAAAAAACCCATGATATATAGCAGAAGAGAATTTTTATTTGAATCGGTTTATCTTATCTTTACACTCAACTCAAAAACTTATTTAATAAAATTCTAAATGTGCCATGAAATAAATAGAAAGAATTTCAAAACATTAGAACTTGTATATGCTCCAGCCAACCCCATCGGGAAAACACGAAGGGAGGCTTTCACGCTCCCAACAAGCCACGACATCCCTTTTTTCCAGCAAAGATAACTGAAGCTCCAACAATCCAATTAATCCTCTCCTTTTATCTTTTTGTGTTTCTCTGTGGGAACTTGGGTCCAATCAATCAGGAAAGAAAGGTGAGTGTGAATTAGTGTTGACGGAGAAGTGAGGAGTCATGTTCGATGCCCACGGATGGCACCAAAAGGAAATGATGGTTCATATTCTTCTCACGGTTATGATACGAGGGAGGAGGAGAAAAAGAAGGAAAAGTATGGAAGGAGTTGACAGTTGTTGATGACTTGGGGATAAATTTTGGTGGAAGTTTGATTTGGATTCGCTGGAAATAATGGTGAGGTGCAATGCTGTGGTGGGTTTAGGGTTATTGGGTGTAGACAGAAAAACACCCATTTTTATTTTCTTTTTCTTATTTATTAAGGGCAAATTTGAGAGTTTGTTGGACAAAATTGTTAAGTTGGGTGTAAAGATAAAACAAATGGGTTCAAATAAAATTTTCTATAGCAGAATCCCACTTGAAAAAGAAAAATCCAATTCAAAAAATAAAAAATAAAAAACGATCCCTTCAAGAAGAAGCATAAGCAAAGTAACCATCACAACAGAAGAAGAAGCCATCTGCAACATAAGAAGCAGAAAAAAAAAAATCCAGCTCATAACCAAACACTAAACATGGAGAGATTGGCCAATTGATCCGAGAAAACAGAGAAATCGGCCAATCGATCCAAGAAAACAACGAGAGAAATGAGACCTAAAGAAAGAAATTGGCTCGAGGCAGAGCACAGCAAATCGATCCACGTTACCAAGTTTTGACAAAGCTGACAAGATTTCTAGCAATGGTCTTACCAATCATTTGCTTTTCGGAGGGTCTCGGTAAGACGTTCTAGTGAGCCATTTAGTCGAAACGAGTCCTTTGTATTCCTATTAAAATAGCCCATGCAGATACAAACACAGGACTACACCAACCTTTAATCCAATCCAATGAAGCCTAACTATGGCAAACAAACGCACCATGTTGGCTGATAATTCTATAGTTTTGTACTGGGGTTGAAGGCTATATAGGCTTATGATTCTTAAATCGAACCGTACTGTGCCCACCCCTACCTATACGTATATAAGTAAGCAACACACATCCCCTTCCATTTTCTTTACTAGTAATGTAGATTGATCCCAAGCCAAATTCATTCAACATTTAACCTAAACATTATTCATTCAGGTAAAATAGGTTGATGCATCTTTTAAACTGTCATCCAAACTTTGCAATGCAAACAGAAACAACGGACATTTTCGTGCGAACCCACGCTTCAGTCACCACACTGAAACTGCATTTCGAACACGCACCCAAAACAGATTCAGCAAAAATTCTAGGATACTACCAGTCGTTAGATCATAATTGCAATGATGGAGAAATCAAGGGGCATTGAGGACCCAATGCATGACTGGGGTTTTTTGTACCCTCAACCTGTAGACTCTCGACAAATAAATGAACAAAAACTGCTTGTAGCATAATCCCCTACCAAGATATCCCAACAGTAGTTCAAATGAAGTTAAATAGTAATGGCAATTGAAGAGAAAGATAGAGATGAAATGGTGTTCATGCTCATAGCAATGCGGTTTTGACAAAAGCCAAACAAGTAGAGAATCATACATATGGATTTGATGATATTCGATAACAAAAACTTGATTGCTTCTTCAAAAGAATTGAGTTCTGAATCTCCGACAGCAATGCAACACCATGAAAATTTTGCAACTACAATTCAACTTTAATGTGAGGAATCAAATAGAAAACCAAGTAAAAAACTTTCAAAAAATAAAAAGTGAAGCAATAGAGGCAACGAGTAAGAACCCCCAATCAGTTCTGTTGGGCATTTCATCAAACACCTTACAAAGCATTAAGGATTATATGAACCATCATATTTCATTTCCTACCAAGATAAAGATCGAGTTCCAAATCAACACAAAGTCACAAAAAATAGAAAGAAAAATGCACATTTACTAATTAAAACCCTAACCCTAGACCCAAAGGGCTCGATTTCAAATACCGGACATTGAAATCCACAAACCCTAAGCCCTTTCAAGAGCTGGTGAACTTAGTCACGGCTTTTGTCCCTTCCGAAACGGCGTGCTTGGCGAGCTCGCCGGGCAGCACGAGCCTCACGGCGGTCTGGATCTCCCGGGAAGTGTGATGGTGGGCTTCTTGTTGTACCTGGCTAGCCTGGACGACTCCTGGGCGAGCTTCTCGAAGATGTCGTTGATGAAGCTGTTCATGATTCCCATGGCCTTGCTGGAGATTCCGATGTCAGGGTGGACCTGCTTCAGGACCTTGAAGATGTAGATCTTGTAGGTCTCCACGCTCTTCTTCGATCTCTTCTTCTTCTTGTCGCCGGCGGCGGCTCCGGCTTCCTTGGGGAGCTTCTTCCCGGCCTTGGGCTTCTTCTCGGCGGGGGCTTTCTCCGCCACGGCAGACTTCTTCTCCTCTGCTGGCTTCTTCTCCGCAG